TGTACGCGCACGTGTGTGTGTGTGTGTGCCAGCATTCATGTGCGTATGACTGGGTATATTTTTTGCGACTGTACAACTTTGTCATAATTCTACGGCGCACCCGCCACATTTCACTACCCATAAATGCATAAAAGCCCTTGCTACCTCCAAAACTCAAACGACCACCAATCCTAGAAGCTTAGAAGACAACCAGACCCCACGCAAACGAAATATAAATACCACCGCATCACCCATACACCTAGAAATACACACAAAAAAAGAAAAATATAAAAGAAATCTAATCATAAACAACTTCCCAGGTAATGGTAGCCTTGCGAGTCCAGTGGAGGGAGCGAGCGAAGGCGGCGGAGGAGTGGTCAGTGAGGCCGCCCACCGTCCAGCCCGCCTCGCCTGCCTCCGTGGGCGCCGGTCCACCCACTCCGCCGTCCCACTTGGACCCGCTCACGCACCTCCACGCGGAGCCGATAAGGATTAAGGTGAGATAAGATAATAAATTAGATGAATGAAAGAATGGATGAGAATAAAGGATGGAAGGTTTGAGGTAGATGAGATAGAAAGAGAGAAATGGAAATAAAGGTGAAAAAATATCATTCAAAGGGAAGAAGAAGGAGGAAATAGACGAACAGTAATGGATAGAAATATATAAAGATGATAGAGGTAAAATAAGATAAGAGATTAAAGTAAAGATTATGATAAGAAACAAGATAAAGATAGAAAAAAATAGCAGGTTCGAAAGAAAAAAACACACGAAAAAGAAAAGAAAAAAAAAATGTAATAACAAATAACTAAAAGTATTTGAGTAAATTAATAAGTGGCAACAGAAAGAAGGAAACAACAAAGCATTAATTCAAGAAGAATCAAAGACAGGAATAACTTTTAACCGTATATGAAAAAAGATATACGAACGAGAGAGAGAAGAAAAATGATGATAAGTAACATAGAATAAAAAAAAAGTAAAATAAATAAATAAATAAATAAGCAAATGAATAAAAACGAAATTAAAAAAAAAGAACTTCATCAGTACACACAGAGAAAATGGCTTTATAACTTCAAATACAAAACTCAAAGTTCTTTCAGGCGAAGGGTCTCCTCGAACGCAGGGGGTCAAACACCAGCCTGACCTTGGAACTGCCCTCGACCTGCCCGCCGCCAGAGGTCACCTCACCGCCTCGACACTGGTCAGTTTTTTTTTTTTTTTGTTTGTTTGTTTTTATTTTAGTTTTTTTTTTGTTTTTGTTTTTACTTTTGTGTCCTTCTTTTCTCCTTTTTTTTCTTGTTCTGTTGCTTGTCTTCTTTTTTTTCTTCTTCTTCTTTCTCTATCTCCCCCTTCACCTCCCCCCTTTCCTTCTCCTCATCATCCCTTTTCATCCTCCTCTTCCCTCCTTTTTTATTGTTCTCTTCTTCTTCCACCTTTTCTTTCTTTCTTCTTCCTTACGTGCATTTTGCTCTCATTTTCTTTTCTACATATAAAACTGTTTATTTCGTTGTTCAAATTTCATGGTACTATATAGATCGTAAGCCTAATGGCATTATAAAAGAGGATATATTGAGAGTTTATTAAATATTCACGATTTTGTATTCTTACGTTATAAAATGTTATTTTACCCTCATATTCCATCTGTTTTTTTCATGAAACCTAAAGTTCTGTAGAAGTAATCACAGTAGTAAAGAAAAAATATCTTAAATCATGCTCAAGTAAATATCTTAAAGCTTCTTTAAGTGGTTAACATATGTAAGTCGTAATAAAAGGCATCTTTAAGGGATAAATATCAACAAAACATCTTCCTTTTCCAAAGCATTTTCTAATGTTAATATTTATTCAATATCATGTCATATTTCTCAGCGACATTAATTAACACATTACCAAACATATTACAAAAACACAAAGGCAATAACGTGTTTAAAGTTCAAAAAACGAAACACAGCCACAGTAAGCAAAGAAACACAAAAACCCACAACGTTTCTGTTAAAACATATCTCTACATCAGGTCGAAATGTCATTTAAGGGGAAACTCACCCAAAATTGACAATCCCGTGAAGATACCTTTTTTTTTTAAAAGTTTATTCATGCATTTATTATGATCATTGCTATTACTTAACTCGAAGCGAAGCGGTTTTTTCAACTTTCTTCACTTTACTGTTGACTGTGTTTCGTTTCACTCTGCCTTACAAGCGAATCATACAAAAGTATCCCCAGCACACCGGAGGAGTTTTTGATGACCGCTGGCAACAGGATGAGCAGGAGACAGCTGAGGCACTGCTTGAGGGACACGAGGGCACTACATGCTGAGTTCTGGGAGGTCCCTCTCAACTTGCCTGATAAGTAAGGATTCGTTTGTCTCTTTCTGTGTGTATTGTGTATGTATTTTTGTCTTCCTTTTTTGTTTTGTATATTTTTGTGTTTTTCTTTGAGTTTTTTTTTTATTTTCTTTAATTTACTGTTGGGCTGGTGTGTTGTTGATTTGTTTGTATTTTTATAGGCTGGGTGTGTGTGTATTTTCTCCTTTATTGAGTTTGCAGTGTGTGTATGTGTGTGTGTGTGTGTGTGTGTGTGTGTGTGTGTGTGTGTGTGTGTGTGTGTGTGTGTGTGTGTGTTCTCTATATTACGGATGCAACTGAAAGCTGAGAATGTTAATCCAAGATATTATTCATATTCAGTATTACTTGGTAGTTTTAACACACATTGAATGTATTTCAAGGAGGCTTTAATATTATAATATATTTACTGGTAGTACGTTTTAAATATATATATTTTCTGTAATAATGAAATCAGTCGAATTATGCAGAGATGTTCAAAGAGATGATAAAATATCTCTATTTTAGCAGTAACCATGAGTTAACAGGGGCACCATTGAATATAATTCTACAGTTATGCATTCAACATTCGATTTAATCCTTTTTCTACTGAGATATTTACAACAGCAATATCAAATCTGCTGAGTTTGACAACAAGAGTACTGTGACGTCGCTGAAATCCTAAATTCCAATAAAAAATTGGAACCGCACTTCAAGTTATTCATACATTCAACATTCAACATGCATGAATTCTTAGTGAGATATCTGTACCAGCGATGCAATACCTGGGACTGGGGTTACAGTGACGTCGATATAATCCTGAATTCTAATGAAGAATGGAACATTGACCACAATTTCAGTTACTCATAAATTCAGCTTTCAATTAGCACGAATTTCCAATGGGATATCTGTACCAGAGATATAGTACTTGGTATTAGCATTACGGTGACGATGAGCAAATGGAAAATTTAACGATATTTTACATTCATACATTCAGCATTTAATTTACACGAACTCCCGACGATATACCTATACCATCGATACAGTTTTCGATATTAACATTACAGTGACATCGATATAACCTTGAAATACGATAAACAACTGAAACACTAAACAAATAACACAATCCTATAGTTACTCATACACCCAACATTCAATCTTGATATTAACATTCAATCTTAACAATTGATTACAGTGACGCTATTATAACCTTGGATTTCGATACACAGGTGTGACGTCCCAGGTTCTGCGGCCAAGAACAGGTATCGTACTGTGCTGCCTAATGAAGCCACAAGAGTCAGGCTGGACACTGGAGATCCTGCGACTGCTTATATCAATGCTAACTACGTGAGGGTTAGTATTGATGTTAAGTTACGGATTTGTTATTTTTTTATTGATTGGGATTTTTATTTGTATTTGTTTGGTGGGATAGATTTTTAGTCTGTTAAGAGATTTTTTCTTCATCTTCTTTGGTATGTCTCTTTGTCTTTGTTATCCCTCTTTTCTTGTCCATCCTTCTCTTTGTGTGTATGTCCGTATGTATGTATATGTCACTCCTTGTCTCTGTCTGCCTCACTTTCTTTCTCACTCACTGTTTGATATTTGCTCCTTTCCGTCTCTTTCCCCCTCTCTTTCTCCCCTCTAACCCCCCTCCCTCTCTCTCCTTCCCCCAGGGCTACGACGGCGAGGAGAAAGCTTACGTGGTCACCCAGGGTCCTTTAGCCAACACCGTGGCTGACCTCTGGGCGCTGGTCATGCAGGAGAGGTCACCGGCCGTGGTCATGATCACCAGACTCAAGGAGAAGAGGAGAGTCAAGTGCGAGCCGTACGTGCCCGCCCTCAGTGCTACGTACGGAGACATCACGGTCACGGTCAAGCAACTCATACACAAAAACGGATATACGACTCGTCAGCTGTTGCTCCAGGTGGGTCCTCGCCTCCTAGTTCCTGGCCGGTGACGCGCTTTTGGGAGTTCCTGTGGGACGGTTTGGAATTCCTGTTAGGTTATTAGAGCTGGTTATTTAAAATTTCCTTTCGGGTTACTGGGAATTCCTGTTAGATCACTGGAAATTCCCAGGTTATTTGGGATGCCTATTGAAATACTTGGAAAACGACTGGCTATTGGGAATTCCTGATCATTAGCACTGACTATTGGGCATTCCTGTTAGGCTATTGGCTATTGGTCACTGAATACCATCTATAGACTCAAGGTGAAGCTTGTTCACATTAATTTATTTCCTAATACAAGCATACACGTACATCTAACACTCATTTCTTCCCTTAACAATCATCAGTGAAAACTACCCATTCATTCATTCCTCCATCAATCAACGTTCGTGAAATCGACCCATTTCTCAACCATCAACGACATTAGCCCACGCATCCATTTCTTCAACTTAACCGACGGCCAAGTATTCAATTCAGTCCTCTCCTGCGTCTAACTGTCGACTCATTCATTCATCTTTCACTTAACAGGATCAAGGAAAACGACCCATTCATCCATTCCTTCATAAAATCGTTAATGAAATCGACCCACGCATTCATTTCTTCCGACATAACTTACGGTTGAGTATTTATTCAGTCCTCTCCTTCGTCTAACAGTCGCCTCAGGCCTTCATTCATAAACCACTTCACAAACGCTAATGAAAACGACTCATGAATTCATTCCTCCATCGAACCAGCATTAATGAAATCTATTCACATATCCATTCCTCCGATTTAACCTGCGGCCAAGTATTCAATTCAGCCCTTCCCTTCGTCAATTCAATCATTCATCTATCAACAAACAACAAACGCCAATGAAAACGCGCGTTCACATTTATTTATCCGTGAAAACGACCCATTCACCAATTTCTCTATCGAACAACCATTTCCTCACTTAACCCGCGGCCAAGTATCCATTAAGCCCCCCTCCATTTCGGCTAAGTACCCCTTAAGTCCTCCATTTCCTCCCTTAACCCACGGCCAAGTATCCAGTAAGTCCCCCCTCCCCCCATTTCGGCCAAGTACCCCTTAAACCCTCCATTTCCTCCCTTAACTCGTTGCCAAGTATCCATTAAGTCCCCCCTCCCCCCATTTCGTCCAAGTACCCTTTAAGTCCTCCATTTTCTCACTTAACCCGCGGCCAAGTATCCATTAAGTCCTCCCCATTTCGGCCAAGTACCAATTAAGACCTCTATTTCCAAGTATTAAGTCCTCCCTTCCGTCCACCAGCGTCGGGAGGAGGTTCACGAGACGCTGCACTTCTGGTACACCGCCTGGCCCGACCACAAGACTCCCACGGAGCCCGACCAGCTGCTCGCCATGTCCCTCGAAGTCGACCACGTCAGGAAGGCAAGTGGGGGAGATCCTGTTTGTAAAGATGGTGGTGATGGTGATGATTGATGATGGTGATGATGATGATGATAGGGGTTTTCTTTCACTGTTTGTTTGGCTTTTATTCTCTCGTTTTCTAATTTTCTGTTCTTTGTGTCTTTCGTTCTTTCTCTTTTTATCTTTTATATTGTTTTTCGGTTTTTCCCTTTCCCTTATTTTTTTCGGTTCTGTCTATTTCCTTTCCTTTTGATTTCCATTTTTTTTTCTAATTCCCTTTCTTTTCTTTCCCTTGTCTTCTTCCTGTTTCTCGTTTGTTCTATCCCGTCTTTCATTCATTTTTTGTTTCTCATTTTTTTTTTTTGTGATTCATTTTTTTCGTTTTTCCTCCGTGTCTCCTTCCCTTTCTTTTCTTTTTTCCATCCCTCGTATCCTTTTTTTCTCTATTCCCCTTGCTTCTCTTTTCTCTCTCTCATTCCATCAATCTGCACGATAAATGAGACAGTGACAAGTACAGGTCATGCAGCTAATTAACAAAATTACCACTTTATTTAGTGCTTTTTATTATCCAAAACACACACATATACAGAATTACGATGTATTCACATCTACATCAATATATATATCTGTATCTATATACCTAAATTGAAAAACAAACAAATACACAAAACGACATGAAAAACAAAGCATTGAGCAACAACCACAATTCCCCCCAAACCATTAATTCCTACCCCCCCCCTAGACTGGCACCGGAAGCGCCCGCGGCCCCGTGATTGTGCACTGCTCAGCTGGCATCGGACGCAGCGGCTGTTTCATCGCCATCAGCATGGCCATTAACCAGCTGTTGGAAGAAGACTGTGTGGATATCCTTGGGATCTTGTGCCAAATGAGGCTTGATAGGTGGGTGTTTAGGTATTTTATTTATCTATTCATTCCATCTATTGATTTATTTTTGAAGGGTTTTTATTCGGAGGAATGTGTTTTTGGTTTTGTGGTCTGTATTGGGTGTCTGTGTAGGAGAGAGTCAGGAGTTAAACTCAGTCTCAACTTGCTTCTTTTAAAAATTATCTCTTTCGTTAGGTATATGCAATAGCAATCTACCGATTTACGTGTAAACAACAGGTGAAAAAACTTTTGCTATATGTATTATATTGAATGTCACATATGTTTTGGGGTACTGGCTAGATTTTTTTTTTTTTCAATATCTGTTTTTGAAGGTAATCATGGAATCAGAAAATGTCACCCCCGCAACTGTTTCACCACGACATATTTCTATAATAATCTTAAAATCCATGAAATCCCAACAAAGTCTATAATAACGCAATTAGCTCACTTACCCCCCCCCCCCCCCCCCATGAACTACTCTTCGACCTGCCCTTTTTACCGCTTCCTGCGCCTCCCACAGGGGCGGAATGGTCCAGACCGGAGAGCAGTACGAGTTCATTCACCGTGCAGTGGCGCTGTACGAGTCCACGCTGCCAGCCGTATGTGTGAACAAGTGATGCACGCCCTCTGACAGCTACCATGCCCTCCCCATGAACATTTCATGACCTCCCCCACCACGGAGTATCTGTGGGGGCCACGGACACTACTGCCCAGGGGCTTCTGTGGGGTGGAAAAGCCGACTCGCCAGGCAGTCTCTGCAAGGGCCTCACTGTCCGTGCTGTCATGCCATGTACAACAGCCAGCAGGTGTTCACGTACGTCCTCAGTGCACCAGACGCGTACCGAGGACATGTTGCGATATGTACAGCGTGTACTTAACAAGTGCAGTTTGTTACGTTCCACATGGAGGACCTTCAATAGCTGTGTGGTGCCGTGAGGACCGTCGACGGCAGCCCCGTTGACCAGATAACAGAGCTCGCGTCTTGTTTGATGTGGATCTCCGGCAAAAGACAAGGCACATTGGCCCGGTTACGTCTGGGTGAAGAAGTGTCTTCCTGGACACTCGGTCCGATGAAAGACCAAAAAAACAGCAACAATTTTCCCAGTAATACAAGATAGATAAATATGGCAGCTTACCTTGAGTGTAAACATAAGCATGAATTATTGTCTATCCGAGTGATGTACTTATTTTAACAAAGATATTTATCAGTTGTCATACGATACTTATTTTCTGTAATATAATGTATGCATAAAAAACATGAATATACAGTATTCACCCATACATACACACCACGTAACACCTACACGGCCACGCAAGCCCATATATACGCGCACGCGCGCGCACACACACGCACACACACACACACGCACACACACACACACACACACACACACACACACACACACACACACACACACACGCACGCACGCACACACACACACACACACACACACACACACACACACACACACACACACACACACACACACACACCATACTGTATATATATATTTATACGCACATTTCTATCTATCCATCTATCTTTACCTGTCTATCTACCTGTCTGTCCGTCTGTCTGTATATCCATCTATCTATAAATATATATTTATTTATATTTATATGTAAGGGCCTCCCAAAGGATGTCTGAGACAAGCTGAACCATCCTCACCTCCTGTGCGTATACGATTGAGCCTCAACCTTCGCCGCACACCACGCTGAACTGGCTCGCAAATTCCCATCTGCGATTCGTAGGTTTCGATGTTTTGCGTGAACTGAAGCTTCGGACTTGCCGGTACTGTGATGCAGTGAAATTGTACGTTTATTTGTAAAAAAAAAAGGAAAAAGAAGAAAGAAAAAAGAAAGAAAGAAAGAAAAAAAAAACGGACGGCGCATTATGTTTGTAATGGAAGGGATTGACTCATTCTGGTAAGTTCATTTTTTTAAGAGTAGAGAGGAAATCAAGGCCAAAGATCGGGAGGTGTTCAGTTTCCATCGTAAGTATTTGGAGTGAGGTGGCAGTGTGAACAATAACGATAATAATAATAACAACCTCGTTCAACGTCTGTGTATGAGGCACAGGCCTTACTCGACCAGTACCAGAATTCTTTCACAAAGCAGCGTCGTATTCTCAGACCCCCACAAGCTCCGGCTCCACAGGGGGAACCTGTCTGTGGAATATGTTCAGGATCTATCAGCTCACATGCTCTTGACCAAAACAAAAAAGAAAAAAAATATATGTTCCACCTCACCTCCATAGCTCTTTTCGTGAGCCCTTCTGAGTGCTGAATGCAAGACTCGTGATCCTGGAGAATTACATTTTTTTTTTTTTTCATTCGTCTAGAAAAAAAGGAGAAAAAGAAATCGAGGCATAATGAGTGTTCGTACAATTAATTCCTTGCCCGGAGAGACTCTGGCAAGCACCTTGGTGTTAATATAATTAGTCGACATGTAGCATTATTAGTGTCTGAGTGATGCAGTTCAGTGTGATATTAAGCATTAGGTTTAGGTGATATTCCGGAGAATATTTATTTTGTTTGACATAAAACCTGATCCAGGTGGATTGACCGGGAACCTGTAAAGGTGTAATTTCTTCAAGTGTGAGTTCGTTCACCTAACCGACGCACTGGAGAACGCGATAGGAACCAAAAAAAAAAAAAAAAAAAAAAAAGATATATATTTTGGCTTCGTTCTAAGGCTTGTGTTAGCCACAGAAAGGACGTTTCTTGGCTAGTGGATATTTTACCTAGTTTAATCCCCCTTAAAGAAGGAAAACGGACGTCACGATAGTTCATTTTTGGGCCAAAAGGCGCGTTGATTTGTTACCTTGCATTCAGCTCAAAGCTCACACAAAATAACTTCTGTGAAACATGTAGATACAATTTTCTTAGTATAATAATAATAAAGACAATGGTGTTTCGTGGCTGGAAGGCAATATCGGAGATGGGGCTGCTGGAACTGGACTCTTTACCAAAACAAAACCAAAAAAGAAAAAAAGAAAATGCAATGGCTCAGATTCCTATGTTAGCTTTTGTGCAGAATATTCGGTAAAGATTTCCGTTCTATCTCTCTCCAGTGTTCCACCTCAGTTATGCCCGTAGATATCCTCACAGACTCACAATAAACTAATTGGTGTGTTCACTTAGCACAGGGGTTGAAGCACTAGAGAACACCAACTAAACACACAACACAATAACATAAACAAACACAACAAACAGTACTGTACTTATACAACAGCAAATAAATTATCAAAAGAAAAAAAAATACATATATTTTATGGTGTATTCTTAAAATTAATTTATCTACCAAAGTGGACAAAAAATATATATATAAAAAAAGGGATTAAAAAAGGGCATGGTCCTTCCCTTCTTGAGGCTCTGGGTAGCCGTGGGGTATTAAATGTCATGTTAGTGTAACGAGAGAGAGAGAAAGACTCTCGTCAGTTCGGTGTATTTTCGATGTATTTGTCTGGAGGTTCTGTGTGTGGGGTTGGCGTTGTAGGTTCCCCTCCTGTACGCACAGTTTATATACTGGAGCTTTAATATGGAGCTTTAAATCCAATTTCCCGGTGTGTTATAAGTGAGTATTGTTACTGGACTGCGGCAGAGAAGGATTTTTTGTGATTGCGATACTCGTCTTGTATCTAGGTGAAGTAACCGATTTTTCTTTCTCTCGCAATTAAATACATTTTTTCTTTACGCTTTGAAAGTTTTTTTTCATGTTTCTGATCAGCTGCAAGTGATGAGTCGACAGAAACTCGGGTTATGGACAATATAACCTTAATTCTCTCATTAAATTGTCAGCTCTTTGAATAAACCGCAATGTTTTATATGTCAGCGATGGATTAAGTGTTCAAAGCTGTGTTCATTAAAGTGAAAGGAAAATATATCACGAAGCTAAGCAATGGATCAAAACGACTGGCCATTCAACTGTATATGAACCAGATTTTCTCTCAACTACAACAGGTCCAACAGTATCATCTGATTGAAAGTAAACGTAATAAGCCTGTAAACTACCTCTACAGTGTATATTTTTTCCATCATAACCGACTCGCCGATATTAATTTCTTTTAGTAGAAAATGTCCATAAGATAATGAAAATTAGACCTATCCAAACGCAGGATTTTAAGCTAGGTAAGAAGACTCGTTACTTCGGCGCGGTTTGTTTGGTTTCATTGGACAACGTCAGCCAATCAGCGCTCTCGGTGTCTCCTACGGGAAAAGCTCCAGCCAATCAGCGCTCTCGGTGTCTCCTACGGGAAAAGTTCCAGCCAATCAGCGCTCTCGGTGTCTCCTACGGGAAAAGTTCCAGCCAATCAGCGAGGTTTTACTAATTCAGTGTAGCCAATCATCGCCCTTAGCCACAGCATGAAGAATGCCGGGCCTTTTTTCAGGATCAGCAAACGTTCTGAAAGAAAATAACGCATAGAGAGGAAAATAAAACGATATTTTTGTGTGTAATATTAGAAAAAAAAGGAGATAGGTTTAACATCTTTCTTGGCTAATTTCTTCAAAGTAACTCTTCACCCCATGAACCGCCAACCCTCCGTTCGAGAGAAATGTCGAAATGACCTCAAGCGTGTGGTTTCGTATGTCATTTACTAGTACATGTCAGCTACCTGGTGTGTTTTCTCTCCCCTAAACCAGTAGTACCTCAGGGTCAGCCTTTGTTCATCCCAGCGTAAAGTAAAATCAACGTTTTAATTCATCGTCAAATGTCATTTTTCTCTCTCTCGATTTTTTTTAACGGAAGAATCCAGTATATCATCTCAATTAATCTTCATTTTTTTCATTATCTTCTCGACTCTTATTTGAAAACATGTAAGTATCCAGTATAACAACATTTTATTCTTAATTTTAGCAGCTTCTCGAATCTTTTTTCTTTAAAACGTGTAAGAATCCAGTATATATTCCAATCCACGGTTCCAGCACCTGTCCGCCGGTCCTAGCTTCGATTCGAATGAAGCCCAGACGCCTCTTATTCCCATGACCGAGCTTCCATTCCACGGTTAGTTCCTATTCCCGACATACTGTAGTCTCCCCATTCCTCCCAAAACCCCGTGTTTGGTTGTCTCCTATAATTCTCATGTGTAAGTCCCCTTACTTTTAGTGTTCTCGTTTTAAATCGTATGTTCTTGACTTCTAATAGATATTTCCCTTACTCACTTTCTACTGTTTCATAATTGATAAGAGAATCTAATCCTATTTTGCCGCGAGGAGGCACCCTCATCCTCTCTCCTATCCGATGTGAAAGGATCTAATCCTATTCCCCGTGGAAAGTCACTCCTTATCCTCCATCCGGTTCTCTATCCAAGGGTTCTGATCTTATCCTAACGCAATCTCTCCACTTATGCAATAGTAACATCGCATACCCTTTCTAACCCCATTCTGTATCCATAAAAAAAAGAATAATAATAATAATAAAAAAAAATCCAAACGTTTTCCTTTCAAACGCGCAGAAAAATTCCAATATTCATCCCCTTTTTCCATCCCATTTCCTAAATCCTTTATCCTTTTCCTTCGTTTCGAGTTTCCTGTTAACTGTATCCTCTGGTTAGGGCTTCCTCCTCACCAGGATCCTCCAGCCAGCTGTATTGTCCAGCAGAACATCTACCCAACAATACCTGTACTGTCGAGTAATATATTTATTCACCAATGCTGTGTTTCATTTCTTTTTTTTTTCCTATTCTGTGTCAAGTTAATAAAATATTTGTTTGGTGTGTGTGTTTGTGTGTGTGTGTGTGTGTGTGTGTGTGTGTGTGTGTGTGTGTGAGAGAGTGAGTGAGAGAGAGAGAGAGAGAGAG